TATATATACCGTATATACACACACACACACACACACACACGTTTATTCCCTTAAACATATTTTTGATAAGTTTTAGTTATATATTTAGTTTTAAAGTATATATTCATATTTACATAAATATATTTAATAGGTTTAGTAACTTATATGTATTTATATATAGTCCGAAACACACACACACACACACACACACACATATATATATATATATTAAAAGACATCAGATTTAACACATAAGAAGGATGTGGGGTGTATGAATGATTTCCTCACCTAACCTCCACCTCAGGCTTGTTGTGTCTCTCCACCACCTGAGAGGAGAAGTTCTCCAGACACAGGGCTGCTTGAAGAGTGGCACGCACCGCGTTCAGGTAGGGTCGCAATGTTGCCGTCTACATACAAAAAGGACCATATTTACTTAAGTAACACTTCATTCTATGACCTCTCTGACCTTAAAGGTGTCTTATAGTTATCATAAACACACAAGAACATGATTGTCAGTTTGTGCTTGGCCATTCCATTGAGTTCGTGTCAGTCATTTAGGTGGTGAAGTGTCAATCATCTGCCTGAACATCACTTACTGACAACTACCGGTTGTTCTAAATGAATTAAACACGTGTCGTTTATTAAATATTTCACCTGTGCAGTGTGATGCGCGTTTATTGTTTTCAATATGCCAAAAAGAGGTTTTGTCTGCAAAATCACTGACGTTAGCAAGCTAGCATAAATCAAGACAGACTTAACATCACTCGATCAAATGAGCCAAAAACACTGCGCTGACCGCATACAAATGGTTTACCCGAATGCTGCTTATTGGGTCATTTGATTGCTCGCGCTACAATAAATAAACAACCACAGCAACTTTAAGAAATATACATCTCTTACCATTTTATATGAGGTCTGTGGAGGAAGACGGAAGTCCGCACGCCTCGCCTGGAAATGAGAAAGCACGCCTCCATTGCGTTCTCACTTTCCCGTAATACACCTATTAGAAGTGCACTGTTGTTAATCGTGAGCTAAATGTATACATGTATACGAGTAAATGATAGATAATTAAATATATTTTCATACATAAACAAGTTCTTATGTTTCTATTTTAAACTGGGAGACTGGGAGAAATAGATATAAACACTAAAACTACCGTTATCATTTCACATCTATTCTTATATTTACGGTCAAGCCCAGTAGCAATCTTACCTTTATTCGCTTTTTCTTCCTTATATGGCAAATAACACGATAGGTCAAATATGCACAGTAGTCAAAAATGATATGGTTTAAAAATATCACTGTGTTCAAATAAACCTGAACTCGTTTGTGGTTTTAAACAGCGCACGAGTCTCTAAAAAGAAATAATCTTCGATTATACTTGTTTGGACCTTTTTACAGTCTGTGGTTTGGTTTGGACGCGCTTCAGTCAGGAATGTACCATTCTATACGCTGCTATGTTATGTTGTGGATGTTAACTGCCGAGAGGGGGTATTTATCTGATACTGAAAAATAAGTTTACAAATAGTACACAAATATCGGTCAAACTTTTTTTTTTTAAACGTAGGTTGATCATACTAAAGCCACGTTCTTGTTATTAAAACTTAATCGGCGAGTTGTCTCCCCCGTGTTGAGATAATGGTTTAGTCAGTAATGGATGCCCCTTCATCGGAGGTAAACAATAATATTTTATGAATAAATGCCTTGTATGAACTCACTCAGCGTTCTGTTTGGTGTTTTAACATATTGTTTAATTGGCGACATACGTCTTTTCATTGCAATGCACAATTGGTGGCTGACTAAATACTTTTTTGCCCCACTGTATATTAAGTTATGAGTATTCAGTCAAAGATTTTTATTTAAATACAGATCAAATATTATTTAAACACAGATAAAAGCCTTTAATTTTATTCAGCAATTAAAAGCATTAAATTGATCAAAATTGACAAAAATGTACACAAGATTTCTCTTTTTTAAAATAAATGCTTTTAAACTTCCTATTTTACCAAAAAAATATATCTTGTTTTACACGAAAATATAAATAAATGTAACATAAAAATATAAATTTTATAAAAAATACTTATTTAAAACAAAACAATACTATTAAATATAATAAGCACAGCTGTTTTCAACATGGATGATAATAATAATAATAAATGGATCATGTGGCACTAAAGACTGAAGTAATGGCTGATAAAATTCAGCTTTGCCATCACAGGAATAAATTACATTTTAAAATACAGGTGCATCTCAAAAAATTTGAATATCGTGAAAAAGTTCTCTTTTTTTTTTTTTGTAACTTGTTTCAAAAAGTGAAGATTCATTACATGTAAAGTAAAACATTTCAAATGTATTTTTTTGTTTTAATTATGTAATTTTGTTTAATTTTTTTAAATTTTGTTTTAATTATGATGATTAGAGCTTACAGCTCACTTATATTCAGTTAGAAAAAAGTTATTGTAATACTGTAAAATTAATATTTCACAGTATTATGATACCTTATACCATTTTTACTGTATTTTTGATCAAATAAATAAAGTTTTGTTGAGACGACTTCTTTCAAAAACATTTAAAAAATCTTAGCGACCCCAAACGTTTGAATGATAAGTGTATTTAGTCATTTGTGGTTATACATGTGTGTAAAACAGATTCTGGGCCTCGGTGGAGCCTTACTGTGCAGACATCACAAATGAAGAAATCAGAGTTCTGGAAGAGCTGCTCAAACCCCCTGATGATGAAGCTGAATACTACAAGGTAAAGATCTTTTAGAAACCAGTTCCTGCACTACATTACTGCAGCTTTCCTTTCCTTTAACTGATTCTGTACTCAGGGAAAATGCATGTTATATGGCTTTTGTGTTGGTTGTTCACATCTGAGCACTCACTGTTGGCTTTCTTTGCAAGATCCCAGCCCTCGGAAAGCACTATTCCCAACGCTGGGCTCAAGAGGACCTGTTGGAGGAGCAAAGAGAGGGGGCGAGAGCCAATGACAAGAAAAAAAGCATGATGGGTCCTCTTTCCGAACTGGATGCTAAAGGTAATGTTGTGATTTAAGATGAGATTCCAGTTGCAACATTGTCATTTTTTTGTTGCGTCTAGCCTTAAATCTGTTGCTTTTATCTTCTACTATTCTGGTTTGTGCAGATGTAGATGCCTTACTGAAGAAATCGGAGTCTCAGCATGAACCTCCAGAGGACGGCTGTCCTTTTGGCCTTCTTACTCAGCGGCTTCTACAAGCACTTGTTGAGGTCAGTGACTCATCATGTGCTAAAATAAGTACAAGTTGTGCAATATTTAGTCAGCTCAGCTTATGTTTTAGTCATATCCTTTTTCAAATATGTAGGAAAACATCATATCCCCTATGGAGGATTCCCCCATTCCAGACATTCCAGGGAAGGATGATGGGGCTGGTACATCGCCTCGTAGCCAGGGTAAAGCCTTCAGGTAAATGTTTTATTTTATGATTTAGTCAGTTAGTGATGTTTACATGTTTCTTTAGACT